TATATTGCTCTTGTTTATTTCTATACCTCAATCGGAAATTGAACCCTTGACCCATCGATGAGTAATGGTACACTCTTCGCTATGTATTCTATACACATAGTAGAGAATATAACAAATATTCATTCGGTATTAACCACTGTACACATTTTCTACAGCCATAACACGCATTCCTTCTTCCACTCTTCTGATCAGCAAAGCAGCCAGGCAACCAACCATTCATTTGACAGACTATCAGTTCGTCCGTTTCTCGTACCAAACGAATTAGGCGCCCAACCACCCTCAGTTCACGCGCCCAGTAAAACTCGAACACACGCTTCTACACACGCTTCTACACATGCATAACGTGCATGCAATTCATTCAATTGCCTCGCCGACATTTTCCGTCACGCGGCAATGTTGCCTTATGGCTTGAGTGTCGGCAGCCAGCAGTCGACAGTCGACACAACATTAGCATTGAAGTGCGCCAGCAGTTCGCCMACGTGTGCAAATGAACGCACACTCAAACTCATTCATTACAAAGCACAAGCACACAAACCTCATAAAAGCACGTTGCTGGCAAACAACAAACGAGCGCCAACAGACCAACACACGCACGCACACAAACWGAGCAACTAACACCCACTTGTCCATCAAACATACACATTTACTCGCACATTTATACAATGTATGTTTGTATGTATCCACGCTCATATAACCGAAACGCCACGCACAGACGTCAGCTACACAAATTTCACATTTTTTTTCACACTCTATTCTTCACCCTTCGTCGCATACCGGACTCCGACCGCACTTCCTTTGATTTAGTCATTTTTCTCTCTGGCACTCTGGCAGCATTTGGTGCACTCAATGCCCCGGCCGTTGCGGCAATATGTAGCTCCCCACGTTTTTCCAGTGGGGATCTTTTATTCGATTTTGTAGGTTTATTTTATTTTATTTTTTCTTTCTGGCCATGCCATGCCGTGCCGCATATTTCTACAGTCGCCGCCAACCCCACCGTCGCATAACTTTCTTTCTGCCCTTACAAATGTTTCCAACTTTTTTGTTGTTTGCTTTTATTTTTTGCTGATATGTTCTTATTTTTTGCCTTTTTTGTTGGTTGGCACTTTTTTACTCTTCATACAAAGCAAAACCTTTTTTCTCTATTTTACATGCACAAGTAATGGTGCTACAATTCAAACAAGAGTCTGTTCACTTTGTTTCAAAATTCCCAAAACTGTAAACAATTTAGCTTAGCCATCACAAACGGCATGGGCTCTCTGTTAATTTTGTAAATATTTCTCAAAATAGGAGTTTATAGAAACAAATGGTGCTTTTAAAATCTGCGGTTTTCAATGAGGCAAAACTTTTTCGGAGTTGGTCTCTTTGACAGCTGATTTATAATTAGATAGGTTTGCCATTTTATAATGAACACACTTACCCCGGAAAAACGTTTGCCATTCGTGTAAATTTATTACCAAAATATTGGTTCGGTTTGCAAGACGCAATGCGCGGCGTCCAATATTCGGTCGACATAATCGCTCAGCAGAGTCGCTAATTCCAGAAACCATGGATCAGTTTAACACCACCTTTACCCTAGTATGTAACCAAAAACACCATATAGTGCGTACAACAATTGCAGCATCGCTCATCCATTTAATTAATGATTTTGCTGAAGATCTTTGTTTGCGGGGTTAAAAAATCCAACTCCAGCATGAATTGAAGCCAATCATCAAGCGCGTCGCATGGTCAATTAATGATCCTAAAACGGCATGGCCACCGTTAATAAACAAAATTGTCGCATTTAGAATGATGATAATCTACAAGCCGCTAGAACCTCAAAAAGTCACAGTTTGGTCCAGAAATATTTCTTCAAAAATGAAGCCGGTTATAATGTTACAGTCAATGGAGGAATTTAATGTCGACGTTAGCGATGTTTTGTGGAGTAATTTGAAATCGCTTGTCTACGCATATAAGCCGGAGAAAAGAATATTCGGCGCGCTTTTGCTGAAAAAAGTGGCCGAAAATCTTAACGTTCGGCTGGAATTTATTATTAATTTGAGCAGTGAAAACTCTATATAACAAGAAACTCGATATAACCAGACATCTCTTTGTAAAGAAATAAACGATACCGCGTGTAGCGCGCAACTCTTGGCTGCAGCCCAGTGCTAAACTTTTGCTTTATTTGTTGCGGTACTTTGGTTGTTATCGTAGCGTGTGCCTCGATGCCTGACATTGCGGCACATGGCTCATGGTAAATGGTAGTCAAGTTGAGTTGAGACGAGTCGTTTGCTAAAGCTTAACATCATAGTCGCGATCGGCGGTCGGCGGTCGGTGGCCTGTATATTCGGCGGTTGTTGCTTACCTACTTTCTGGCTACGTGCACAGTTGGTTGAATGGTTAGATGGCTGCATGCTTGGATGGTTTGGATGGCAGTCTAGTGAGCTGTTGGCTGTTGGCTGCTGTTTTCACTGACTTTTGTTTTTGTTGTTGTCGTTGTCGTAGTCGCTGCTGCTGTTATATTGTTGTTGTTTTTATTGTTGGCATTATTGCTGGTGGCGGTTATGGGGATGGTGTTATGTTTGCTGTTTTCATCCCAGAACGCCACTTTCAGATGTGAAGTCGTTCAAGTCGGTAAATTGAAGGCGGAACAAGAAGGAGCGCAACGACGGAAAGAGGTTAACACCGGGGAGGCCAAAGTGCGCGCGGGTTCTAAATTATACGCTATGATTGTGGCAAGGGATGTACAATTTGTGTGTGCGCACGCCAATGCCTTTAGTTATGTTTGCTTGTGTGTGATCTGTGAAGCTCTGGTGTCTGCGTTTATGTGCATTGTAAGCTCGACTAAGCAGCACTTGGCAGGCAAGCAGTCAGCTTGCGCATCCGTTTGCCGTTTTTGCTGTTAGATTGCATGCATGTGCCTATGCTTGTGTTGCCCCGCTGCTATGTTTGCCACTTGGTTGAACGTGGGTAGTGCTTATGGATGCGGGTGGTCGGGCCGCAGACGAGCAAGTTGATGGCGGATTGTTGAGGTACTTGGCTCGTGCGACACCGTCTGTGTACTCGACTCTACGGATATCCAAACATACATATGGATGAGGGTTTGTGTGTGAATTGCTGTGCAAGTTTGTGTGCACGTTTATTTGACTTGTGCGGAATAATGTATGTGTTCAATGCGGACGGCGTGTCGGCTGGCCTCTGTAGTATCTCTCTACCAATAAATATGTATATGTGTGTGTTTGCGGTATAGGTCGTAACCACTGGCAGTGTGCGCCAGTTACTCACAATTTTCACCGACCCGTCTTTTCATGTCACACCCGGCATTTGGTCGACCGTCGGCCGTCGGCCGTCGACTCAACAGTAGCGATGATGGCAAGCAGCCTGGTCTTTTTGGGATGCACGAGTATTGGCGCGCACGTCATACATCATGGGGCGGCATACGCAAGCAAGGGTAGTTTAACAAGACTTTATGGAAAGCACATACATATATATGCATATGGGTTGAGTTGGCAGACTGGTGGAACGATGAGACAGTGAGTCGGTCAGTTGAATGGGTTTTCTCGGCTACGTTTTGATATGCTTCGGTTTGGTTTGGTCAGGTTGGTCCGTTGATTTCTTTCGGTTTGGGACGGCTTGTCGTTATAGGTATGTATGTACATGTTATACGGTTGGTTGGGTAGTAGGCGCGACGTTAGCGACTAAAAGCGAAGAAGCGTCAGACGTTGAAGGGAAAGCAGAGGAATGCATTTGAGTACACACGCCAAGGGAATTCCACCCTGACACCAAGAGCTCAACAAGCAGCGGCGGCAAATAACGTAAACGGCAATTTCAGTTTCGAAGGTGTCGGAGGCGGGGAAACAGAAAAGCGTAGACGCAGACGAAACTTCAGCAGCAATTGTAAAAGCTACCAAACCATAATGTGTGCATGGCACTGTGTTAGACAGTGTGGATCGCAGATCCGCAATGTTTGTGTTTTTTTCTCTAAACGTCGTTCTGCGTTGTTATAAATTTGAACGGTTGTATGTATGTACAAACACATATGGGACTAGGTGGGCTGTAGCTGTCTCTTATACACATCTAGATGTGTATAAGAGACAGGTGTTAGACAGTGTGGATCGCAGATCCGCAATGTTTGTGTTTTTTTCTCTAAACGTCGTTCTGCGTTGTTATAAATTTGAACGGTTGTATGTATGTACAAACACATATGGGACTAGGTGGGCTGTAGTGTAAGCGCTTGACGAGCCACACGACATCTCTGGAGCCCAGCAGTCGACGCACATTGTATTATTTGTCTTTAAAGTCAGTTGATATATGTATGTATGCCAAGTGATGCTGTTTGTGAGCGCGTTGGGCTAGTTTGGCAAACATTGTGCGAAATGATGCGTTTCTATCACGATCTACATTATAAAATTCTAAACTATTAATGCGACTAAGTGTTTTAAAGATTAATATAATGAATGGCATTGAGTATATCGCTTTAAACTAATGCATTTGTCAATTGGCATTGCTTGTGTTTTGCTGACGAATCGGAGACATACATCAAACTACTGTACGTAGCTAATCTTTGTAGTCATATTGCACTTTTAGTGCCAGACGTTGTACATCACATACGTCATCGTCATCCTCTTCACCGTGTTGGCGGTGCTCTCGTTTTGCTGAACAACGCCGATGTTGGTGTCAAGTCGTAAGTCGATGGCATAGTCGTTGCGTCGTCGTGGTTTTGCACGGGCTTTAAGTCCCAACGGTTGCCGCCCAAACGCCCCAGTGGCACAGCCGCGTGCACACAACTTGCCACAACCAGTCAACCAAGGAACCAACCAACAAACTGGCGAATGTTGCCATTACTTGGCGTTGGCGCATGTTGCTACTGCTACTGGCATTGCTCGCGCCATTCTTATATTCTTTGTTGTTATTGTTGTTGTTGTGTTTGCTATTATTGTTGTTGTAGTTATACTCGTTTCTGTTGTTTTGCTGGTGGTTAGCTGACTCCAATCTGCCGCGCTCAGCTCAGCTCAACTCAACTGAACTGAACTGAACTCGAGTCGACTCGGTATGCGACATGCGGCATAGCATGCCACTGTTGTGATTCGCTTCGACACACATGCATACACATTCATATATGTATATGTTCACATGAAAATTTGTATGTTGGTATGTAGCGCATGGTCGTCGCAGTCGTCGGCGCGGCCAGGATATTTAGAAAAGCACCAAGGATAATGATTCAGTTTTGATTTAAATTCTGTTAGTTCGTCGTGCGACGTCTTGGCGTGTGGACGCTTCGATACGTTTTCGTTTCGCTTCGTTCAAATTTGCTTATTTTTCGTGGTTAACATCGTTTAGCGAAACATTCCATTTGAACGCATTGTGCTTAAAGCAATTTAACACATCCACGTTATCGTCGGCACCGTCGCTGACACAGTGCTAGTGTGACTACAGACGTAATTGCCGTTTGTGTCTGGCCTCAATGTGGGGTATGGTGCAGTTGTGCGTGTGGTAGTATTTAATTGTAGCCTACAAGTTTGTTTAAAACACACGAGTCAGCGCGCTTTCAATTTCGTTGTGTTTAACTTGCGACGGTTGTTCGCCTACAATGCATACGCACTTGTAGAGTACTCGGATTGTGACATTGCTATTTCCGCACAAACTTAAGACGGCAAAGACAAAGTGACGTCTTTGATAGCCACTTGCCTTGTTTGCTAATGGACTAAGTGGATTCTTAACAGTGTGGTGATCATGTGTACCGTGGACGCATCTGCAACATTTCGTTTCTTTGTTTAGTTACGGATACGCGGGGCTTTTCGGCAAACATGACAATATGACAGCAAAACGCGACAAGGATTATGCTAAAAGTAAAACCTCAACTGGTAATAAGAGTTTAATAATTTATGTGATTATGATTTTCTAAGCACAAAATTGCAGTGATTGATAACAGATCATGGATTATAATTGGTTTGTTGCACTCGTTAAAATTATGGCTTAAGATCTCGAAACTGTAAAGATACATTTTCACATATTTCTGTGTTCTAACTATGTGTGTTACATTCTTRCATTGAATATAATATCCGGTTAGACCACACTTTATACCCTGAACAGGATATATTAAGTTGGTTACGAAGTTTGTAACACCCAGAAGAAAACTTCGGAAAGCCTAGAAAAAATATGTAAATGACCAGCATGAAGAACACAGTCAATTTAGCCATGTCCGTCTAATTGTASATATATACATACATATGTGAACAAGTGCCTCACTTTTTGAGATATCGATCTGAAAATCACAACCTTCTTCTCAAGAAGCTGCTCATTTGTTTAAACCGCCAATATCGGATCACTATAGCTACCATCAATCAAATTCCAGTCTTTGCATTAAAAACCTTTTTTTTTTTTGACGAGATATCTTCACGAAATTGACAAGGATGTTCAAAGCGAAGAAGAATTTGCTTATATATATACTACTATAGCATTCAGTCGTACAAACCGATCAAAATCAAGATAAAGATCTTTGTATACCTTTTTACGCCATAAGATGTGCACCTGCGAATGCATTTTAGCTTCGGAGCTGCTGTTTTTTTTTTTTTTTGGCTGTACCACTCAAACCGATTCAAGCTGATCACCAACTCCTTTCAATATGTACAATGTAAATGAGTTTGCTTGGCGTCGGTATGACAAAAATGCATACTTACATCGTTGATGGTATGAAAGCTTCGACCAAGTTATTCCATATGATGATGATATGAAAACTTGTAACATACTAGGTCGGATTGTGGTCATAAATATGCTAATATTATTATTGGGGTGTATTTTTCAATTTAATTTATTTCTTGAATAAATAATTTAAGAATTTGTCCAAAATTTATAAACCTTTAGACTGTGATATTCGTATAATATACACTTCATTAAAGACAACATTTAACATATTTATTTAAAACTCTACGAAAATAGGTAGAGATTATGAGGACACCAGGTGTTCCTTAAAACGACGATTTTTGGGGATTCTAAGAAAAATTGCTCCTAAACGAAAAATTTTCTACAAGACAATAACTACGGTTCAAATATCAAAATTCGACAAAATATGCAAATTTTAAAAATGTAGTTTAGAGAAAAACACGATTACAGATAAACAAATCTAGCTGATTGAACTAATTCAGAAGGCTGGTAGACAAAAACTTGCATGTTATTTTTAAAAATATAGCTTGTCGAAATACGAAAACTTCGGTATTGATTTAGCAATCAATGTGACTCAATACTTTTGTTATTTTACATATAATATCCACCACGTGAGTATGATTTGTCCTTCAACATTCCTAAAAAACAAAAAAAGAATTAACTCACAATCAAACGCACAATTAAACATGCAAAGATCTTAAAATCATCGAATTTAAAACAAGAATGTTGAAATCCTACTTTGGAAGGATTTATTTTCTATGATTTGTGGCAAAAAGTTTAAGCGGCAATTTTTGAAGCACGGGAAACAATAAAACTATATATTATATCCTTTCAAAAAAAGATTTATTTCTTAACAGGATTAGTAATTTTTGAAGATGGTTTGAATTTCCCTGATTGCTGGAAAATTAATCTTCAAATACGTTTCTGATCACCATCCATATATGTACATACATATTTAGGGGTTTCACATAGTCTCGTAAAGTTGTAAGTTATAATGATCCGAAAACATAGCGTTCAGAGTTGTATTTGCCTAAACTTATTTTAGTATGCAATCCAACAACAAATTTGTTTAACTRGTATAAAAATGTATGATTTTACGATGCTTTATGACAAGTTGGTGAGTACCCCAATTGTGTTAATAATGGAATATCAGTATCTTATGTTCTGAAAATGATACCTAGTAATTTCGAGTTATSTTACTTTTTGTAGAGTGCCTTACTCAGAAAATTACGTTAATTTATGTAGTATTTGTAAATCATAAACCAAAAAATTTCAGATCAATCCATTTATTTGGTATCAAAAAATATCACTTGTAGACAAATAATTTGTGACATGAAAATTCTTAGGTGTTTCTAATGCGGATTGATACTCTAAAGTGAAATCTGAAAACAGAATTTTTCAATCACCCACAGATATTCTGTAACTTGCGGCGTTAGATTTTACAATACATCATAATACAGCCGTGTGAGAGACTGTCACTCCAGGACAAAAAAAACGTTACCAGTGAAGCTCTAGTTGATCCCAAGAAGGTATTACTACCATCTTTATATATTAAATTGGATTAAATGAAGAATTTTGTCAAGACAATGAACAGAACTGAAAGAACAAAAATTTCCAAGAGTCAATGAAGCAAAAATTAAGGAGGGCATATTTGTGAGCCCGCAAATAACAGAACTAATGAAAGACATACCATTTGAGGAAATGTGCAATGAAACTGAAATACGAGCCCGGACAGCTTTTAGAAATGTTTTTAAATATTTTATTCGAAATATGAATGCTGACAATTACAAAGATCTTCTAACTGAAGTACTTACTTTCTATAAAAGAAAAGGGTTGTAACATGTTCCTTGAAATTCACTTTCTGGACTCSCATCCGAGTTTTTTATATAACAATAATTTATCTATCGATGAGTTTTTAAACAAAAATCCTCATAGCAAAAACACTAAAGGTGATCTGAAAAAAGAAATCTGTTGCAATGTTTATATAATAAACTGTTCTGTTCACGTCACAAAAACAAGTGGGTTTTTGTTTACCAGTGTAATTAATAGAATTAAAAAAGTTAGAACATATTCTCAAATGGATATGCCAATTATATTTCTTTATTTGTTTTGCTCAATTATCATTCAGAATTTAAGATGTGTTTCGGAAATAATGGTGTTCCAAAATCGTATCTTATCGAATGACCATTCTAACAGTCATGGAAAATTTTTTAGTTTAAATCACCAAGGGGGAGCGGTAGTTATCTTAATTGGAAAAAATGCGATCGAAAATTTAAAACATATAAATATATATTGGTCCAATCGAATAATTCTAATGTTGTAAAGATGAATAAAAGTGTTCAAGATCTTTTATAATTGTCAATGTCAAGTTTATGCAAAATTTTTAATTTTGGAATTTACCGTCAAGTCGCTTCCGTTTAAGAAGACTTGTCACTAAACTGATTGAGTAGTATATAAATGGTTAAATTTTCCAATAAAATTTACTAACCTTTCTTAACCGCTACGGCAATAATAAGTGTATTTGTTTATTTGAACTTTTTCAAATAATTGTGGATATTATGAGAAAGATTGGAAAAATGTCAACACTTACAAAAATACATGGTATACAATCTCTATCTTTATTAAATCTCATCTCATTTAGTGTAGTTCGTAATAACTTAGTGGTCTTTGATTCTTTATAATATAGAATCTGAAGATTTGATCTCAAGATATCGATTTTCAAAACGAGGCGTCCATTCTTCTTTTGGGGTGTTGGTATCATAATTTTAAACCAGTAAGGAAGGGCTATATTTGGAGGTAATCGATTTCATACCCCTGTAACTTGCCAGGACCAAAATGAGGGAAATACCTTAGGGTGTAAAGCGTCAACCAGAGGATCGGATCCAACATATATAACATACATACATATATGAACATATTCATTTTCACTTCAAGAAGCTTCAGAACTGCCGATATCGGACCACTATATCATATAACTGCCATACAAACTGAACGCTCGGAATAAAGTTCTTGTATGGAAAACTTACACAGTTCACAATGTATTTTCACAAAAGGTGACACAGGTTATTTTCTAAATCAACAATGTAATCTCCGAAGAAATTTAGTTTAGATCGGTTAACTATAGCATATAGCTGCCATACAAGCCGAACAATCGGAATCAAGTTCTTGTATGGAAAACTTTTACATTTGACAAGATATATTCACGAAATTTAGTATAGATTGTTTTCTAAGGCAACAATGTAATCTCCGAAGAAATTATTCAGATCGGTTAACTATAGCATATAGCTTCCATACACCTGTGAAGGGTATTTAGCTTCGGTGTAACCGAAGTTAACGTTTTTCTTATTTTCTCTGAATTTCAATTATAAATCTCACACATTGGACGATATTTTCTGTCAAAAGTCAACTATAGGTACTGGGGTTCGCATATTCGGTACCCAGGGAATTGACAGCTGTGGTTTAATTCGGAAATTTTTTGGTCATACGGTGGCTTACTTCAAAGCACAATTCGTACAAGGTTCTATTTGGTTATATTAATTTTTTCTTGATTTGTAAATTTCGCCGATTTTCATAGGAATGACGTAAGAATGTTAAGGTATTGTCATGCATCCAGACAGCGGTGCCACGTCCAGTTTCCAATTTTGGCACCGGCTCTTATAAAGATGTCTAATACCATTTCTCTGGTTAAAATTAATGTCTCTGCAGTTTTTGGTTATTGATTTGTCGTACTTTTAATAGTTATTAACAGTACCGTTATATGGGAGTGAGCGAGATTATGGTCTGATTTCATTATTTTTTACACAGTATCGACAAGAGTTCTTATAAAACTTATCTTAGTGAAAGTTGGTTATTTTTGCTTGAACTATTTGAGAGATTTGTAACTTAAACTTATTCGAAGGAGTGGCCACCACCACTTTTTCAAAATATTTATCTCTCAGGTACTACAGCGATCCTCTGTGCCAAATTACAGTTCATTATCTTAATTACGTGATTATTTATGGCACTTTATTGGTTTGACTTTAATGGCGTTTTGTGGGCATGGCAGTAATCCGATTACGCCCATCTACGAACTCGTCCATACTTTTTTAAATAAAGGAATATATATACCAAGCTTCGTTACGATATTTCAATTTTTACTGAAGTTACAGCTTGCAAGGACGGATAGACAGGTAGGCAGTCACTCGGATTTCAACTCGTCTCATCATTATGATCAATTATATATACATATATTGTGACAAAAAAGTACCCGGAAATTGTAAATAAAAGACAAAAAATATTTAATTATTCAATATTTATTTGTCACCATCTAAGTAGTCCCCACCATATGTAATACAGTTATGACAACGATTGTTGACTCGTTTGCACGTCAAACTCTCATCGRAAATTCTGATGGTCTCCATGAATGTGGGTCATACAATCAAGCAAGTCCAAAGAGACCTGTTTACGGTACTCCGTAAAAAAATTCAGCTATTTCAGGACGAGTCGAGCAAGAACAAGTTTGACTGTCTTTGAAGGCTTTGTAACACTCGTAGACATGTGTTCGCAACGATTCCGCACACGATATTTGGTTAGAAATACAAAATTTAAGACAAATTCTTTGTTCTATATTTTTAATCATTTCAAAAGTCGCAACGCACCAATGAGATGTAATTCAATTACAATTGCCGGATGCTTTTTTGTCAGAATGTGTATAACCCGATCGATCGATCGATTCGTTTTAGGTGATAAACACAACCAATGTTGCAAGAGTATAAAAATGTTGAGCCTATAATATTAGAGGCTGCTTCTTTTTAATTTCGGGTAACTAAAACCGAAAATGATTCTAAAAATTTCGCACCACTTAAGATTTTTTGTGTTGTAGYCAAAGGGTGTATGGGTTAAACCACCACCATTTATTGAACTTACAACTCAAGTCAAAGGAAACGTCGGTATACCTATACAATATAATACATATGTATATCTAAAAGATCAGCTGAATGACGATCTGAGTCGATGTCGATGTGAGTCTGTCCGTCTGTCTGTCTGTATATATACGAGCTAGTTCTTCAGTTTCTGAGATATCGATCGAAATTTGCATACGTTCTTTTACCCAAGAAGCTGCTTATTTATTGGAATCGTCGATATGGGACCACTATAGGCTATTGCTCCCATATAGTCTTTTGTATATGCAAAGATGAGACCAAAGTTAACGTTTTTTCTTATTTTTAATTTTGATTACTGCGCACAGTGTAACGGTTGCAAATATACTGTTGTCAAAAACAGTTCTAAATTTTAAGTCATATAAGCTCTACCACACATTCTTTTAGAAGCCAAGAAATATGACATATGATGACGTCTGGTTCAACATGCTTGCTCTGGTTTACATGCTTGAATACTAAATTAACTTTCAATGCAAGTTAGTTTATTTATTGGTTTTGAGCAGAGATCGTGAATATGCAGCAGCATAAAGCAGGACTATTAGTTTTTATTACATATGATTATACGCATATTTCTCGTTTCTGAGAATAATTAGAGAATATATAAGTATATATGTATATGTATATATACATTTTCTTCCATCTCTTCATGATATCGCATATAARGGATACAGTGTAACCTTACTACTAGATAGAATAGATAGATTTTATAACGTTCGAACATCGATTTGTCTATTATTCTCGCCGAGAATTTATCTCTTTATTTCGAAGGAAGAGGTTTAATAAATTTACTCAATAAAACGTTCTCCGTCTAATAATAATTCCATATTTCATCTTTATTGCGTATAAGAATTGTGTAGCATTTTTTATAAAAATTTAAATAACACTACTTTTAATTTTTTACTTTTAATTTTCAGGAACAGGATTTTCTGCGTCAGCATCTACAGGAGCAGTAAAATCAATAGGTCTAGTCACATCATCACAAAATGTAACATCATCTCAGGACATTACGAAACGAACAAACAAGCCACTTATGGAAAAGCGACGACGTGCACGTATCAATCAAAGTTTGGCCATACTAAAGGCTCTGATTTTGGAATCGACAAAGAATCAGTCAAAAACCACAGATGGACAAACCAAACACACAAAATTGGAAAAAGCTGATATACTCGAATTAACAGTGAGACACTTTCAACGGCATCGAAATCTCGATGACACAAGTAAAACAAAATGCTTTTATTTTATATTTTTATTTTTAAATTGTATACCTTTGTAGCCATTAATAAATACAGAGCCGGATATACGGACTGCGCTAGAGAGGTTGCACGTTACTTGGCCACGCCCGAACCTCCACCTTTGGGAAATATTCCTTCGCTGTCGGAACCGGGATCAAAAGCACGGCTTTTACGRCATTTGGACCAATGTATTGCTGAAATTGACATTGAGATATGCCCTCACTCCACAGCGACATATGCCGACAGTCCATCCAGCAGTTGTTACGATATCAACACTGCGCCAAAGAAACCGTAAGTTTAACATTCTTTTATAACATTTATCTTATTAAGACGATTTGTAATGTCTCCTAAAACTGCCGTATTAAAGCATTACTTTTTTCAGTCAACCGGACGATAACTCGTTGGACTATAGCAGCCAAGACTCAAACCCATTAGATTTCAGTAAAGCCGCCTCGAATGTTTTAACAAGCAAAGGAAATTTTGTTAGTCCTACTGGGACGCCAGTAGCACATTCTACAAATTCACCCTGTTCGGAGCGCCTAGGTTCACAAGTAATTCTATGCGATATTTTTAAGGTCTCATGAAAAACTTTCGAATTAATTTTCTGCACAGGATGAGAACAATAATCCCGATGGTCCTCAGGTTAGTGCAGGATCAAGTAGAAGTGATGCAAGTATGCGGCCAATGATTTCTGCTGGCGATATACCGAATGTAATCGATATCAATGCTGTGCAGAACTTTGAAGAACGCAGTAAAGTGAGAAAGCGTCTAATAAATTATCCGATCCATAAACCTTAATAAATAAAATAYCTATACCTTTATTTACATAGCTGTGTTCAAATGTTTTGGACACATACAAACATCTTAAAGTAAACGACCCAACAGGGATCCTTGTACTTCCTCCACACTATGTTCAATTAGCAGCAGCCTTGGGTCTAAATACCCATCCTGTCATGGATGCAATTACCACTCGCACAGACTTCGAACGGCTGATCGAAATGAATCACGTGCCTCCATTGTCAGCTCAAATTGCCGGCAAACTTAGCACATATGGATCTCTACCCGGTGCTTTAGAGGCGGCACATGCCGCTGCTGCCTATGCAGCCACTACCATGGCTGCAAAAGAAAATGGTATGCCGGCTGCTAGTACAGCATCGCCAGTGATTAGTAACATCAATATGGAACGTCCTGCCTCTGTGCTCTCGAATGCAACTTCTGTTGCTTCAACGTCTGTAAGCTCTATGACATCAACCGATTCGCAGAAGACTGCCACACAACAGCAACATCAGCTAGCCCGCTTAGACGCTAGTTCAATAACGACAGTAGAAGCAGCACAACTGAACATGGTTAGCAATCCTCTTTCGGCAAATATTGCAGCTGCAGCAGCAGCAGCCGCTCAACACCAGTTGCATCTACTGCGGCCCAATGAAGCTCTAGCACGGCAAGAGCAACAGCCGCAGGATGAAAATATGTGGAGGCCATGGTGAGCAGTGCAAATATGAAGGTTACTTCAAATGCAAAATTCAAAGCTTCAAGCGCGTGACATTGTAAATACCAAAGATTTCTTATATATACACCTTCATATGTTTAAAGTTAGGGATATGTGTAAATTATAAACAAATACTTTTTCTGTAATAATTTAAAGACGTTTTGAACAGTTCTGATATATTATTAATTGCATATATTGTTACATTCTTGTCACATAAGTTAATCAGCGTTGTACATTACATGAAAATCGTAAAGCAGCATCTTCCCCAGGAACTCGTTTGGATAATTTTATGTTCTTTTTATAAATTTTCAAAATTATGACATAAATTAAATTATTAAACAGCTCGAAAGGTTAAAGATTAGTATGCAAAAAACACAATTAGTTCGAGTGAAAATCACATCACTAATTATTTTCTTGCTGAGAAATTTTAATATGCCCCGTGTCCCTTTGATTGTTTCCTTGGCTGTATGCCAGGTAGCGCCGCCTTGTTGGGACAAATGGTCGTCCACTTGACCTCCAATTCAGGCATGAAAAATCATAATCATGGCGTTCACTCCAGTCTTCTCCGATACTCTGCTTTACAGCATCGATATTTTTCGGTGCTCATTTGGCGGAGTCTCCGAGGCTGAACGTTATCCAGTCTGTTCATAATGAAGCAACAGAAAAATGACAAACTCTGAAAAAGATATTGCCTCATTGAAAACCACACATCTAAAAGGGAAACACCAGTTACCTAATATAAAAATTTCCGGTTGTCTTTATACCGTATGCATCGATCTATTAGTAAGATAACTTAGCAAAAGTACGTGAAGATATATAGGTAAAATCATGTAAAATATTCAACAAATTACACCAGCTGCAATATATTAGTATATTGATTTCTATTATTTCAGCAGACTTAATGCCAACTATGTATGTCTGTCAGTATGCGAGTTATCTTCATAAAATTGCAAGAGAACATATTCCATATATACTCCTATGTGATATTTCAATGATATGAAATGGATATGTTTTCTTAAACAGAATGTGGATTAGTCCTTCATCGACATAGACCGTGGTTGAAGACCCTTATTCCCAATAGATTGACTCCTCTGGACTTCTTAAAATTATGTCGAAAGCGATCAAATACAAAAAATTATGTAGTTCCACTTTTCTTGCATTTTTTTCGCACAGTAATCTCTGAGTCACAGGTAATGTGAACGGAAACTCGTACTGGACCTAAAAGCTTTATTTAATCTGATGCCATCATTTCGCTCGAATCAAGTTAACTGATTAATTTCGTCTGCTAGCAAGATCAGATAATCTATGATAACTGGCAATGCAACAGAATTCTACTTTACAGAGCAAAAATAATATCTATTTGTGAGTTGATAGAAATTTGTATAAAAAATGCTTTTATGTATACTATATTTCGAGTTATGTAATTTCTTAGGTCCGATTTGGTAAATGGGTATAATTTGTGAATTGTAGCTGCAATCTTTTGTGACCCACTGTAGACTATGTTTAGAATTAAAAATAAAAAAACATAAATATATATAAATTGTATGTACATATGGGTATTAATTAAATTATAGATGTGTTATATTATTGTATATGATTAATTATTATGAATAGAAATTTTTTGTTAAAAATCACCAAAGAATACGTTATCTGCATTTATAGTTACATGTATGTACATATGAACATGTATTGGCGTAATTTATAATTATTATCAATCTAACTGTAAATGACTGTTGCTTTATGTTAAATATTTATTTTCAAAAAACTTGCTAATCATATATGTATGAATATACTATATGTACATATGTACAGAATAATTCAAATCACTTGCTGTTTTTTTATTAATTTTAAGTTTAGCTATACATTATATTTGTGTAGTATTGATATCTGAAAGATAAAGATACTTAAAAAATTTACAAATATGTTATCAACAAGCTAGACTATATAGATTCGTATTTACATATAAAAGTACCAGTGCCAAAGAGACTAGTACATAAAATAGATATAGTCATACAAAAACATAAACACAACTTTATTTCCGGCATACTAGCATAAACATATGTGTATAAGATATAAAATTGAATGTATGTAATATAAATAAAATAATCATATTTGTCCAAAAAATTATAAACAAAATTGTTGCAATCATATTGTTGAAAAGCTGCTTCTAAAAAGGATAAACATGAAAATTGGAAGTTAACATTGTCTTTGTGAAAAGAAATCAGAAGTTTTTAGACGGGTAGCTTGTATGATGAACGGGTTTTACTTTTTTTGGCATCTTTATGAAAAATTGTGTATTAAAAATTAGATTATTAATTATTCTATTTTAATTTTTGATTATATGCTTGGGAATATTTTTTTATTTTTTATTTTATTTTTCAATCTGGTAATTGTAATTAAATAATATATTTTTAATTCGGTTTTCGAGATTAAATATTTTTTCAAACACGTATTTGGGATTACATTTTTCATCCGGTTTTCGGATTAAAAATTAGTTTTAAGTAAGATCTTAGGGATTACAAGATTAAAATATTAATTCAAAGGTTTAAATACTTAATCTTTTGTGGAAAAGCCGGTGTATTAAAATGTCAAATTCGAAAGCCAGACAAAAACGGAAAAAATATATAAATTATCTAAAAATCGTAAAGAAGATATTCGCCATTGAAAATTTCCCAATAAGAACTTTCTATGTATATATGTAAAGCTAGTACGCTGCCGATAAATTAAGGAGAAATCAAAAACAAATATTTGTAGAATCAAGTACTCATCATCGTGTAAAAATCAAAACAGTCTTAGGTAAGTAAATAAATAAATCATAGAAACTTCTGTGTATACTGCCTATCCGTTTTAGTAACGCATGTGTTTTCGGGAATTATGAAGTTTCAGCTTTAGTTTCACCCGAGACGAATTCAGACTTATTCAAACTAAATTCGCCTCAGCCGTTGCAACTAATTATTGTGAAAAATGTCTTCAGAGAAGCAAGAGAAAAACTTATCATGCGGAATAAGCTCCATTGTGATCAATGTTAGCAGTAAAATAAACAATGTTCAGTGGAAGGAAAATAAGTTATCAGTGTTATATAACAGGACGTGCAGCAACCCAAGACAACGCTTGGTTTATTACTCCCAACACTTAATTTGAGGTAAGGATTTGTGAACGTACTTTTCGTTTCTTTATGCTCGTTATCAACTTTTGCGTAAAATGTAGAAATTTGCAATTTGAATTTTAGATACTATATTTAACAGGATCAGATTCAAGCAAGTGATCGCACTCCTTGGGGCTAAATATCGTAAAATCCGTTGTTGTTGGTGATTAAATCGTAGCGGAATTGGCCATGTACCTCTGTCTATTTCTATGTACACAAACTAGCTTCTCGGTTTCGAAGATACCGATATACAATTTTGCACACACGTTCTTTTTTAACCGCCGATATCTGACAACTATAGCATTTAGCTGTCATACAGACTGACCGGGACAAAATCATTCACTTGTTTGGGAAACACGGTATAATCTCTTTCGAAGTGGCTTATAGACCATATATAGCTCATAGCTGCCATCAAAAATCACCGATTAAAACCAAATTCTTGTGTGGAACACTTTTTTATTTACGACGGGTACAACCGAAGTTTACTTTTTTTCTTGTTCCAATAAGTATTTATTATTAACTGCCTTATGGTGACGTACCCTTTGCTGCAAATTATGCAACAAAATGATCAATTTTAAATAAAAAATAAAACGCCCTTCCGTTATGCACTAGCAGAAAGTCTGAAGCACAGCACGGAAAGATGTGAAAATTTGGTCATCTATTCGTTTATTCCTGCAGAACGTCCTAACGGAAGTCTTTTGCAAAGTCACTGTCGTTTTAGCAATTAAATCCGATTAAATAACTTTCAACTTTGTAAAATAAAGATCAAATTTGAAAAAATTTATTTCGGCAGATACGATTCTACTCGAAAAGGCAGTTATCTATAAAAAAAAAACACAAATATAAATGAATAACGAAAATATAGTTAATATGTTTATATATTTTTAATATTTGTGGATGTATAATAAAATGAATACACTCAATATCATTGAAATGATGAATTAATTAAATATGTTCATGAAGGTAACAGTGTACAGATAAGATCTACTCAAAGAATTAAAAGAAATATTTTAATTATTTCTTATTTGCAAAACTTAAGTTTGCTTTGTATAAAACTTTTTTTATAAATAAATACATTAATGCATGTCAAATATAATTATGCAAAAATAGGTACGCAAAATATGCGCTCATTTTGAWTATGACATTAAATAATCACTACTAACTATTCAAATGATTTAATGCATATATATGGGGTTACAATTCCTATCTAGAAATAAAATAAATTTATAAAGGATTTTTATTTGTTCTTGAATGTCGTTAGTGATTTTCGGGGCGCAGATTGGCGTTGACGCGCTAAAAATGTCTGCCCCTGTCCCATTAATAAAGCCAGTTTAGCATCAATTGCATCACGTTGTGCATTTACGCCCAATCTGTAATATAAAACATCAAAACACAGGTTAACAACCCCTTTAAAAATAAAACAAGTGTGTATATCGAAAGACCTGTAGAAAGCCGTTGTCATTAATTGCTCCTCCAACGTACTCATTCCTGCTTTTGGTTCTTCTTCAGAATCCTGCGACCGCTCAAGCAGATTTACATCGATAACTGTAAAAAATAAATTTTTTTTCATTAAGTTCATCAGCTCGAAATTAGCATACCATTGGCAAGTCTTGGATCAAGACTTTTTATTACTTCCTTTGCTTTATCCACACATTTTCTGTATTTCGCATCACAAGCCAAAAGATCTTGTTCACGAGTGGTGAGTGTATTTTCCAATTGTGTTATCTTATTTTGCAAGGAAACATTTTGAGAAACTGATTCCTCCAATTGTAAAGCTGAAAAATAGGATTTTTAATTGTTAAAAACAAAAATATTTCACGCAAAGTGATATATTTTACTTTACTTTTTTGTTCATTTAGTTCCATTAGTTGCTTAATCTGCTTGCCAAATTCAAACCTGATATAAATAAGTACAAGAAAAAACATTAACTTCGGTTGCTTCGAAACTCTCACAAATAAAAAAGTTTCCTGCAATAAGTTCATTTACATCGTTCAGTTTTATGAAACTATATCCTATAGTGGATCAATCTCAAACATTTGTTCGGAGATTGTAGGATTTCTTTGGACAATAATCTGGCCTAAATTTCGAGAAGATATCTCGACAAATAAAAAAGTTCTTCATACAACGAGCGGATAATTATATTATATTGATCAAAACAATTTGTTCGTAGATCGTAGCCCTGCTTTTAACAAAAATATTATCAATGCCGACAAATGAGCAGCTTCTTAAAGAGAATATGTTGAGTGTAGAATTTGAGTTCGATATCTCGAAATCTGTAGGACTAGTTTGCGTATATACAGAGAGACCGACGGACTTGGATAAATGAACTCGTTAAGCTAATTATTTATATAAATGCAAATTGAAAATTTTCCAAAGTTTCCTTCTGTATATTGCTAACTTAATTACCCTTTCCAAGATATAAATATATAAAGAACACATGGCCTAGCATATTTGTGAGGATAGAGACAGAACTTACTCTTTGAGATTTGGATCTCCACTCTGTGAAGCATGCGACAGTGATAGTATCCGTTCATTGGCCAACTTCAATTGTTCGCGTAAATTATCATTGCGCTTATTTGCATCATGCAAAAGTTGCTATATAAAAGAGGTTTTCATTGCTGAATGGTTGGAATACTACGTGTATTTTCTTACCGTTAATGCCGTTTGGCCGCCTTGACCTTCACGCAAAGCTTTATTTTCTAATTCCAAACGGTGTACCTTTTCTACAACTGCGGTAGGTTGTAGTTCTTTAGACATTGTGTTTCCATTCAGGCCTTGAATAAATGTGTGATTAAAAAAATTATGAAATATAATTTATAACGGAGTTTTAAAATGTACTTTTACTTACTTCCAGAACTTGTCGAAAGTTGCCCACATTTTAGTTCGTCTAAAGCTTCTCGAAGATTATCCCGCTCTTTAAGTAAACTTTCTTTGGCACGTTGCAATGCACAAATATTGCTTTCAAGATTTTTATTATCAAACTCTAATTTAACATTTTTGCTCATTTCTCCATCAAGTTGTGTATGCAGGTCTTGAATCTATTTTTACTTATACATATATGTATATACTAAGAATTAATGTTGTATATAGCAAACCTTATTTTTGAAAAGTTCCACTTGTCCCTTAAGTGTTGCAGATTTTTTAGCATCTTCTTCGAATTGCACTATTTGCTGTACATAGTCAGCACTTCTTTCTTCTAAAATTTTAATACTCTTTTTTAAATCGTTATACTCTTCCAAACGTTTTTTGTAAGTGTCTAACTGTATTTCACATTCTTTTAATTTATCATTTGATTCTCTCAATACGTCAACTTCATCTTTCAGTTGCATTAATTCCGAAGTACTTTTCTAAATATAAAAATATAGAAAAAAATAATAATTTTGTTCCCAATTTCAATAGTATTACTTACGGTTAGTTCATCGATTCGCTGTTGCATGGTTTGCATTTCTTTTTCCTGCTGTTGAACTTTTAATTTTAAATCTTCTCTGGTGGCATCTGACTGTAAGAGTTCTTCTTTCATACGGTCGAGTTGTCGCCTAAGTTCGGAATAGCGCACAGATCCCGCTTGCACAGGGCCGATAGAAACTCCATCATCCCCAATTTCAGGTTTTGAAGACTGTAGATGTTGAATTTCAAGCTGGAGTTTTGCAAGCTCTTGCTGCATGTTCGATTTTTCTTCTATCAGCAATAGATTCTAAAAGTTAAATTTTGTGTTAAAATTTTGCTCAAATTTTGCTCATTTTCTATACATATATTCTGATTGTTTCTACTGAACAAGTCGGTTTTGTAACGAAATAACTAAATTATATAAATTCACTTATATCTTACAAACCTCAATATAAAATTTAAAAAAATCAATATATGTAATATACTATATTTTACGCTTATGCTGAATAACAAATCGAAGAAAATTAGTATAAATCATTTTCGAATTTGAAAGTAATCCACGGGGTTATTTTAACATCGAAAATAACGTTTTCGTTTTA